ATACAAAGTCTGTACAAGTCTATAAAATTGTAGTTATATAACAATATATACATATGTTTTAACGACGGTATCTATATCTTTTAAAGTGAAACCATAGTTGGAAGATGTTGTTATGGAACTGACATCTAAATCCACGCTTATATGAGTATTCCCATTCTCGATTGACAATTTTGAATGCAATGTCCTCGTAAGGCGGGCCCGCGTGAAATCGCAGAATGGCGAAATCTTTATTGTCAGTGCAGGGTGTCTGAAAATTAAAATCAGAATTAAATAGTTTACTTAAAAAATTTATAAATCATCAATGCTAATCTAAAGTCTATGGTAAAGTCACACGATACATTTTTTCCTGTTGTGGACTGCTTGCCTTTTAATAAATTACTAAAAATTGGACTACACAAAACGCAGAATTTCAAATTGTCCATTCTAAGCTATTAGTCATAAATCAGAAGTTAAAAGCTGGAAATTAACGACTATGATTGAACAATTTCCAGCTTCTAACTTCTGATTTATGACTAATGGCTTATTGTAGAAGACCCATAAGAATTTATTAAAACACATGCATTCTAAACAGGAAAAAATGTATCGTCAAATATTGTAGGCTGAATACTACAAGTCTATTTTTTTTTGAAGAAAATTCTCAACTGGTATACATTGTGGTGCAATAAGTAAACTAAATCAATATAGTTTGTTTCACTTCAACTTACTGTACCAGTATATACTATAATTTAGAATTTTATTCGGAAAAAAAAAAACAACAGATCTCACAATGGTTGTGTCTAAAGAAGAATTCAAATATCTTACAAGAAAATATTCCGGAGTGGTATTTTTATCGATGAGGTCCGGATAGAAAATATTGAATTTATATCCTTGTACGATCTTCGGCGGCGGATTGTCCATGTCGTAATGCGTCTGATTGTATTTGTTCCACTCGAAACCTGTGTGCACGCGATTGAAGTAGCGCGGTTTACGAGGTCGGTACTTGTCGGACCACAAGTAGATCTGCGCTTCCAATGACGATTCGACACTGAACTGTGCCTCGTCCGAGCCCATACCCTTGCGCGCCTCCCGGTGCATGGCCTGTTCCTCGATCGTCAGTACGTTCTGAATTTTTCTGCCAGTATTGAGGACTTGCTGCCTTGCATACTCTAATCGCTGATTATCCTCGTCTTCCTGTGTGACGAGTGTGCCCGGTTCGAGCTGCGAGTAAGGTATATAAGTTGGCGAGTAGCCACCAGCTTCGTACTCGCGGAAGGATTCAGACAACAGATCGTCAACGGCACTTGTCTCTTCTTGATCATCACTGAAACATGACATCATTATATATATCTTATTCATGCAAAGAAGAGATAAAGACTTCCTGAATCGGCATAAGGGAGAGAATACTTACTCAGAATGACTATTTTCGTCTTTTTCAACAGCTGTACTGGAAGAAGGTCCATCTTGCCTTACAGTAGATTCATTTTCCTGTGCTTGCGAGCCTTCGGACTCATTCTCCGTTCTGGCTACACCTTGCTCGGCGATGAGAACCTCCAATTTTTTACGCAAGTTCTCCTGATGTCGATCTCTAAGCCGCGCCCTCGCCATGTGAGCTACATATTTAATACTTAGTATGAATCACATGTATTATTGTTTGTAAAATTTAACAATAGTTATTAGAGATGACTCAATAATATAAAACGTAAATAAGGAGCATACAATTACATATGCAAGATATCTTTGCCAAAGTCATATATTTAAAATTAAAAATGTAAATGTTTCGACCATCATCAAGTCTTGGCCATCATCAGTACAATAAAAGAATGCCGAAACGTTTACATTTTTAATTTTAAATATATGACTTTAGCAAAAAATATCTTGTGTATGTGGCTGTGTGCTCCTTCTTATGTATTATTATTATTATTTGTAATTTTCAAACACGTTTATAAATTGTATCATATTTTACCTTTTAACTGAGATAAAAGGCTTTCCCAATATCCAATATCAACACCTTCTGGCTTCCCTGTGATTTTCGCTTGAATCTGCAATTGCAGAGCTTCCAATTGCGTTGCAGTTTTACCCTTAAAAATAGCCGTGACATCTTTAGCGACTGACTCGTGGATTCCTTCTCTTCTACCAACAGCTAAAAAAAAAGATGCAGTATGATGTAAGCAAGAATCATAACAGGCAAGAAAAAAAATATTAAGTGAAAATCGATTGAGAAATATTCAGTACAAATGAGTGAAGATTATATTCTGTTAAAGTGAGTCTTGGTATTTAATAATACTTTTCTATAAATTTTACAATTTGAATTGAAAATTATAAAATTCATACAAAAATGTAAACACCAAAAACTACCTTATATCGAATATGACTTCCTTCACTTATCTGTGTTAAAAAAAAAAAATAATTATTTTTCTTACCAACTTCGTATTCTGTTCGTTCCAATTTTCTGAGTTTGTGCAACTCGTCTTCCACAATCACCGTTATATCATTCCAATAATCTAAATTCTTTCCTCTTTCCAGTTCTTTATATACCTTTATATCCTCTATAAGATCCTCCAAGTCTTTCACATGCAAACCTCTTAAGTATGTATACGGCTCATGCATCTCCACTGCATCAACCTCTTCCTCCGCACTTATATATTTTGCGAGAAGATCGATGGGTTTCGCACGGCCATCCTGAATCCTAATGCGAGATCTCAATCTAGCTTGCTCAAGATGGAATTGATCTTCCTGTCGAGCCCATTGTTCTAACTGAGCAGCCTCCTTGCCTCTCTGCAACATCGTCATCTCTTCTTCTCTCTGCTGTCGTTCTAGTTCTCTCTCTTGCCTCCTCTTCTTCACCTTCTCCAGTTCTCTCTTATTCTCCTCCTGTTTATGCCTATTACGAATCTCCAATTCTTCTCTGCCTACACCAAGTAGGCCCTCTTTCCCCAACTTTTTCGACCATACAAAAGTAGACAGGATATTGCCATCACCAAATGGATTATCTGTATTTGTATAATGTAAGTAGTCGTTGTCCCAACCCATTCTCTCCTTACGTTTACGTTCCTTAGCTTCCTTCTTCTTCAGGCGACGCAGACGTTTCTCTTCTGGTGTCTCCGTCGCCTTCATCAGTTCCTTCTGTCGTTTACGATCCTCTACTTGCTTCTGTCGTTGCTTCTGAAGTTTCTCCAGCAACTTTGTGGAGTCTGAGGATGAATCCGTAGATGAGCCATCGCTGGATTTGCTTGAATCTGAAGATGTTGACGGTGAAGATGATTCCCTAAATTAAAAATATATACCATACAGAATTCCCATATATACAATTTCAAAAGATTATGTATGTTCAGAGAACAGTTGAATAAGTATTTGCTGCTATTCATTCTCCTAGATTTAGCATAGATCTAAAGGTCTATTTCAATTACAAGCAACAATTACTAAACGCTCGCTCAAATGTTGTGGCTGTGTTCCAAAATTTACTGCCAGTACTGAAAATCTATAGTGTGTACGTAACGTAAACAATAAATTTCGAAACACAGGCTGTTTTCTGAATCATAGTATTTTCCATTTAATGATACAAACGTCCTTCCATCTTTCATGGCATTCATGAAATAACAAAAGGTCTATTCGCGTTGAAAAAAGAGAAAACAAAGATGCTAAGTGCAAAAAATGTAAGCAACGCGAACAGACCTAAAGACAGAGACACTCGTCTTCTTGGCCATCAATCACATTAATTAGAAAACATTCTGACTGCTTTCCGTTTAGGAGACACGATCGATACAAGTGTTATTCTTTTTTTGTTGTTCATTGACTGCTAAAAAAGATAGAACGACGTTGTTTGTGTCAGCAAATAGAAAGCATCTACGGCCTCTAAAATTTGAATTGAAAACACCCACCTCTTTCGATTCTTGCGCTTGGAGGACTTCCGCGATTCGCGACGCGAGCGAGACTCGTCGTCCCTCGATTTTTTATACTTCTCGGTGGATCTCCTTCTGGAGCGATCGTGTTTGGATTTCAATTCTCCGGATCGGTGCTCCGTGCGATCGCGGGTTCTTCGCGACGCTCGATCCTCACCTCTGTAGTCGTCACGCTTTTTCCTTGATTTGTATCCACTGCGGTCTCGCGAATATTTCTCCATCACGAAGGGAAGGGAAAAGATAAATAAATAGATTGAAATAAATCGCCAACCCTGTGACGCCTAACCTCACTTTCCTCTCCCCCCCCCCCGCCGCCCACCGAGGAAGTACCGGAAGAACGTCACGAACGTTTCAGACGCGCGTCATCTTGCCGCGAACGGCGCAGCTGATTCCAGACTACGCGAGTCAACGGCGGTGAATAAAACTAAAGACGGAAGAACGTCGGTCGAATTTATTCTCACTTTGGACTCATTTATATTTCTCTCGAATTCATTTCTATCGAGTCGTCAGCGTTTCTCGCGACGAGGCGAAACATAAAAGTATAAAACGAAGTAGAAGCTGGTGGACGAGACCCTTTCTTGACTCGTCACGTCCCGCGGCCTCCATTCCGCTCGCTCGGTTCGCTCGGCTGGCAGTGCTGGCACATCCGTTGGAACTTTCAAATTAGACAGCGTACGTACGCACGCGGTCGAGGGAAGCTTCTCGGAGAGCTTACCGTGTCGTTCGAACGAATCCAGCGTTTCTGAATTGGAGTTGTTACCGCTGACACCATCGCGGAATCCGAGGAACGCGATGCCGCACAACATTTATTATTCCGACAAGTACTACGACGATAAATTCGAATATAGGTAAGTAATTATTTTGCGAGTGCCCCACACGAGGCCTCTTGCCCAAAACGTGAGGCCCCCTGATCGTACGACATAATGGCGTCTTCTTTTCATACAATTTCTATGCGATTCTGCGTGGAACGTGGAATGTCCGTGCGAAATTTCTGCGCTCAACTTTACGCTTCTTTTTCTCTCCCTTGTCACTCGATTCTTTTTTTCTTCCATTCATCATGCCGGCTTTGGAATCGAAGCGTTTAAAATGGTCGATTCGGAAAGCTAGACTGCTCGTTTAAGATCGGTTTGTCGATGTTTCATTTCGGATTCGGAAGCTTATTCAGCTTGGATTTGTACGAATCTTTGTAGCATTCTGCTCTGCGAGATAGGACTCGCGATGATTTTAACGCGAATAATTTCTCGGTAGGAAAAAAACAAATGTCGGGAAACATGACGTACGTAAAAAAAAAGACGTAATAATATATAATAGAAAAATCATCTCTCAAAATTTCTCTTCTGGCCAAGCTATATTGCAAGGATCAAATAAAAATTCGATAACAAATATTGCAAAATTATAAAATCGCAAAATATAAATTGTATTTTGCGAGAATTATTATTTATATCTGATTTTTACGAATGATATAAATTGAATGGAAATTTCATCCAATTTTATAATACAATTAAAAAGTAATTTTGTAATTTTTATTGGTTTTAAGTATTATTAACTCTCTATTAATTTGAGTTGTTTTTTTATATGAGAAAATTTTTTTTCATTTTCAAATTTCTGTGAAATAAAGAAAAGTCGGTTTTTTCTTCCTAAAATATCTTGGTAAAAATTATTTGATAATGTAATAGAAATGTTAAAAAATAATTCTTATTTTTCCATATTTTTTGAAAGCTTCAAAAGTAAAAAAGCAGTACAAATGGAGGGTTAATTATTATTATTAGATATAAATTTATAAATGTCTGTAAAAACTTAAAAATCTTTTTACTTCTTAACTAATATGCACTTTGTGATAAAAAAATTCTACACATCGAAGTATCTGTTACTATTATCGAGAAAATGACTTGTGCATTTAATAAATTTCTTTTATCAAAGGGTGTATATATATTAGAATTTAAAAAATTATAAATAAAGCTTATTGTATACTTGTATTTCTTATTTTTGCTTTTTTCATGTATTTGTTATTTCTATTTTCTATTTTTATTCTTTAAATTTTGTATAGGCATGTGGTTTTACCAAAAGAAATGGTGAAGCTGGTGCCAAGAACTCACTTGCTGTCCGAGCAAGAATGGAGAGCTATTGGGATCCAACAAAGTCAAGGATGGGTGCACTATATGATTCATGATCCCGGTATATACTCAATTTGATCTTAACGTTTCCTACAGAACACAAACAGTAATGTATTACATCAATATTATAATTTTCAACTCAACAATATAAATTAATATAACACATGTTATACATAACAATTATATTATTGAGTACGAAATTATAACATTAATATAATATTTATGTAATTTTAGTTTGATTTTTTGCATATTGTGTGTCTTTTGAAGATTTCTAATCGAATGAATTATTTCAGAACCACATATTTTGCTATTCAAGAGGAAAATAACGACGCCTCTAGAGCTGAGAGGGAAAGAGAATTAAACGAAGCGAAGTTGTATCGTCTTGTAAATAACAATTTAGATCATGTTCATATTTATAGTGGAACATATTTACGATCGTATCTCATCACTTCCTGTTTTTCTCTCTCGGTCTCGATAGCGAAATCGATGCGCTATGTAACATCAAATTTGCTTTCTAAAAGTTTAATTGAAAAAAAATCGCGAACTAATCTTTAATAAAAATAAAGCGACGAATTTTCAAGAAAATTCCACAAAATAGTATGTCTATGGTCGTTTTATCTTTAATTACTTCGCGTTGTCATTCATTAAAAAATGTCAAGCAAGTATGCTGTATATATGTTTATAAAATATATTAGTTTTTAATTCCAGTTTAGCTTTTGTACTTTTCTTTTTGCATTGAAACTCGAGAATAAGAGATATATCGCAATATATTAACTTTGAAACAAAATGAAATGTTCTAGTTTTTTGTTTCCAAAGACTGTAATTCCGAAGCGAAGTAATTCATAAGAATGATGTGATTACAGTGCCTTTTAGTAGGAACTTGTAGAATTCATTCACTTGCGTTATACTAGATTAGTGCATATTAAAGACTACTACATGAAATTAGCTAAGTTAAATATAAAAGCATATGTGAATATTATAAAACAGTGGAATGTCACTAATAATATTATACTTAATAATATCACGTTATTTATATATACTTATGTATTATTTCATTGTTAAAGTAGATTATTTAATACCACTGTATTTAGATGCTTTATATAAAATAGCTTTTAATGACCACTAATCAAGTGTAATACAAGTGATCGAATTCACCATTAGTACTTTTAATTAAATTAAGACGCTTATAGAATGATCATTCTCTTTTTAAGTTTGACACTTAATGCAAAAGTATTAATTTATATAAGGGAAGTGTAGATACATTTTAAGTTAATATAATTTGTTCGTTCTGATTTTAACACCTTGACTTTGGCACAGGAAGTTATTTTCATCGCAATTTTTGTGCTTTCTAATTTCGAATAAATCTATGTACCGTATATAATGATCTTAAAAGCTATATAACTGGCTACATTAATTTCATATTCAATATCATCAAGCCTTCCCACATTTGTACTTCATGTTAGTTTAGCATCTGAGCGATTTTGGTTTGCCTTTTTTTTTGTAAGAAAAAAAGAAAAGTATATTATTGTGTTAAATAAATGTTTGCATTTATGAGAAATGTTATAGTTTTTTTACATCTCTTATTAATTAAATATCATTTACACATATCTATAATTCGACGAATAACAAAAACTTTCCAAGCGTTAGAAAAATTTAACACCTTGATTATCATCGAATGAGATAATCTCTGCCTTTCTTGCGGCTTCTAATGTCTTCAGTGACCTGATTAGCACTTCTGTGTCCAGACCGTGAAATTCTAAAATAAGCAATATGATTATTAATGGTTATTTCTAATAATACTGATAAATAGAGCAAAAACAAATTGTACAATGTACCTTGTTCACTTGTGTCTTCCCCTTGTGTCAGTTCGAAGAATGTACACACAGAGCCAGTGAAGCCATTCTCCTGTGCCCAATTGTATATTATATCACCCCATTCCTCTAAAGTATGCCAATAAACCAACCATCTCTGCTTGGTCTTATCTAGGGGTGACGCATTTCCTGATTTTCCTAATTCTTCCAATATTACTAGTACAGCTTCGGATGGTAATTTTCCTGTTATTGTACTGTTAAGGAGCTTTCGATAGCAATAACTATTTTAATTAATATACATTAGCTATTAGGAAACTATAGTAATAATCCAGTGAATACATCACCTAATAGTAACATAACTCAATTAATTTCCTATTCAACAATACAACTATTATATGTTATATTATATTAATTATATTGTTAAATAGGAAATTGTAACGAGTTATATTATTGTTGGTGTTTGCTAGGAAATTTTTGTAATAAGTGACTAATAAATAATGACAGTAAATAAATCGCTTAAAACAGTAATACAATATGACAGGGATGAGTATTACATTAAGTATAACGACAAAATTGGTAGAATAATTGTCATTCGATGTGACGAGTAAGGATACTGTTTATGCTCGTATTATTAAATAGAGGATTTGTGTGAATCTCGCGCACATCTACGACCGCCTGTTTTGTGATACGATAGTATTCAAGCACCAGGCTCTTCCAGGCCGCTATTTGTTTAGCTCTAGTATCTACGTGAGGTTGAAGCCTACAATGAATAAGGCAAAGTTATGTGGCAAAAATTCGAAAATATTTCAAATGTTGTATTATTGCCAGATTCATAAATATGCGTTTTGTATATAATTTACGT